CTCACTCAGGGGAAAGAAGAACACGCCGAAAATCCTCCAGCAGCTCGGGAGCAACTGCACAGCGCAGGCCCAGCAGCACTGGGGCGGGGCGGGGCCAGCGTTGCCTCGCCCACGTACGCATGCGTACCCGAGCCCGACGCCCCGCCCATTCGGTGACGCACCGTGGACGTGGGCGGGGCTAACGTGGTGGGATCCTCGGGGTCGTGGCTGGCGGGGTTGAGGCCGCGGTGACGCGGGACGGGACGGGAGAGTTGGGAGCGCCCCGAGCTGGCGGCCCGCTGTGGAGGAGACATCACCTGTTTCCCCGGCTGAGGCGGCGGGAACTGCGCTGGGTAAGCGGGACCAGAGGGGTCTGCCGGCCCGCGAGTGCGGTGCGCAGTGAGGGCTGGAGCCCGAGAGGAGGACAGTCGGGGTCCCCCGGGGTCCAGGCCCTGGCGCCCAGCCGGCACCTCGTGGTCCCTGCGTGGGGTGGGGTGGGGTGGGGCCCCGGGTCACCCGCATCCGCGGCCCCCTCTTCTGCTGCCCTTGGGTCCTGGTCTGTAGTAGGCCTCCCTGGACTTCTGGGATGCGCGGACGAAGGTACGGGTTCTGCGTTGGGAGAACCGGGCAGGCCACAGGGCGGGGGCCTGCCGCTTCCATTCATTGCGCTGGCCTTTGCTGACCCGCCCCCCAGCTCCGAGTCCGGCCAGGCCAGGCTCCTCCCCTCCCCTCCTGCATCTCAAAATCCAGCTGGGAAGCTCAGCCAACCCACCAGATCCTACTGTCTACCATGGGGAAGGCCGTAAACTTGGATGGGATGGGAGTGACCCGGAAAAGAGCTTATCTAAAGCGTCCAGAAGGTTCCGCCTCAGCTGACCGATGGCCACCGTGCTTCACACGTAGGAAGGAGTGACCCTAAGATGGATTGAGCTGGAGAAATCGCTCAACAACCAGAGAGTGTGGAGGGACTAGGGGACACAGAAAGGAAAGTGATTTTTAAGGGCACACAGAGACCATAGGATGGTTAAAAGGAGTCGGAGGAAGACCTAGATTGCTGGGTAGGGCATGCTGGGCACAGCCCCTTATTCTGGGTGTGAATCCACAGGAACCAATCACCTGGAAGTGCATAGGCCATTCTAGGATTATTCGTACCCAGACACACATCCTGCATCATATAGCAAGATACAGGAGAAATAAATACCGGTGTTGTCAGGTAGCTGAGAAGGTGGTTCCAAGGTGGCTTGGACCAGTGCACAGAGCCAGGAATTGAAATAGGAAAGAATAGTATTGTCTGGAGGAGGTTTCTCTGTTGGTGTTAACATCGTATTAATGGTGTACTTGTCCTGGAAATATCTGAAAAGCATAGCTGTACAGGTCCAAAAATTGAAATGTATTATTGACCCTGTACATCTGCCCTGGTGGATGAAGTTCCTAGAAAGAAAAAGACTCCTCAAAACTCAACCCTTTGGATTATTGTCCCCAAACACGGAATAAGAATTAGGCATGGGCCCACCAGGTAGGAGAGAAACAGGTATTTATTCATCAAGCAAAGTAAAAATAGCATGCGCCTTATACAAGTCATGGGCTGGTTTAGCAGAGATTGAAATACTAGGGAAAATCTATGGGAGGTAGGGAGAGTGGAGAGGATGATTCCTGCTACACCTCAGCCCCACCTGCAGTACTAGTGTTCTCATGTTATCAATTAGGTCTGAAGTCTTAATTAAGTCTGAGATAATAAACAATTATGGGTCCTTGCAATGTGAACATCTATGTTTTGTGGCTTCTTAAAAAGAAGAGAGTGGAATGGACCAGGCTGTTTTCTTGAGAGTATGCATATTTAATCCCTGAAGAATCCATGCTTTAGTCCATGTCTGAAGCAAAGAAGTGAGGAGGAGATGTCAATCACTTTCGTTGCTCAGAGAGGGAATGTGAAGGAAATTATGTTTCTATATACTTTTCATCTGTGTATTCATTAATGATTATTTCTGGGTTCCTGGTTTCTGCTTCTCATATCCCACTTCCTAGTCTGGCTTGCCTCAGAGTCTGTTGGCTAAAGGTCATTTGCCTCTGGAGCCTCATGTGCACAACCACACAACCTAAGAGGTGGACAGGTGTTTGTGTAAGGAGGGCTGGAAGTGCCTCCCCTCCCACCAAATCCTGTGAAAAGGAAACAACAGATGGAAGCCATAAAACCATATAATTCAATGGCTGGGAAGGTGGCTCAGTGGTAGAGCGCTTGCCTTGCATGCTCGAGGCCCTGGGTTCGATTCCTCAGCACCACATAAGCAAAAAGAAAAAGGCCGGAAGTGGCGCTGTGGCTCAAGTGGTAGAGTGCTAGCCTTGAGCTGAAGAGCTGAGGGACAGCGCCCAGGCCCAGAGTTCAGGCCCACAACCGGACCCAAAAAACAAAACAAAAAAACAAAAAAAAACCATATAATTCATGTATGATTGGGATTGAGTTTGGAGGGGAGGGGGTGCTGTTGGTGGTGGTAGTAGTAGGGTTTTGTTGTTTTGTTGTGACCATCCCCACCCCCTCCCCACAAGAAGCCTTTATACACCTACCAGGAAAATGAGTGATGGTTTGCTAATAATGTACATATGTTCATTCTTTCTTTTCTTCTTTCTTGTCAGTACTAAGGTTTGACCTCACAGTCTTTTTTTTTTGGCCAGTTGTGGAAACTGTCCCTCAGCTCTTCAGCTCAAGGCTAGCACTCTACCACTTCAGCCACAGTGCCACTTCCAGCTTTTTCTGCTTATGTGGTGCTGAGGAATTGAACCCAGGACCTTATGCATGCAAGGCAAGAATTCTACCACTGAGCCACCTTCCCAGCCCCATGACCTCACAGTCTTATGCTTCACATGAGCCATACCTCTAGCACTTTTTGTTTTAGTTTATTCTTCAAATAAGGTCTTATGCCCAAAGCAATCCTGGACTCCAATCTTCCTACCTCTGACTCCCGCCTAGCTAGGATTACAGGTGTAAAGCACCACAGCCAACTTGCTATTTTGAGATAGAATCTCACTAATTTTCAGACTGCCTTGCCCCCATGCTAGTCCTCCCATCTCTTCTCCCATGTTTTCAACATATGTGATAGTCACTGGAAATCATAGTTCTTTCTCATACTTTCATGAAAACCTGGAAAAAACTGGGTAACAGATTAGGCAGCTGCCAGCTCAAATCACATGGAGCGTGTATTTCATAGAACCATCAGCTCCTACAAAGCTAATCAGGGGACAGGGCAGACTCCTGCTGCCACACACACATTCTCCTCTGACTCCTGCCCTCCTGACAGAAGGTAGCTCCTGGCAGGAGCTAGACCTCTGTTTTCCTCAATATACTCTGCTTCCTGTCCTACCTTTCATTTATTCTCCATCTGGCTCACCTTCCTTTCAGCCTTCTTTACTAAGTAAAGGCGTGGGAATGTGGCTTAGTGGTAGAGTGCTTGCCTAGCATGCATGAAGCCCTGGGTTAGATTCCTCAGTACCACATACACAGAAAAAGCCAGAAGTGGCACTGTGGCTCAAGTGGTAGGGTGCTAGCCTTGAGCAAATGAAACTTAGGGACAGTGCCCAGGCTCTGAGTTCAAGCCCCAGGACTGGCCAAAAAAAAAAAAAAAAAAAAAAACACCAAAAACCCCACTAAGATTATGCTGCTTTCCTTCCTTAGTGAGCTTCTCAGGAGATTCTAAGCAAAATATCCTAGTGGGTATGTGATTTGCCCCTTCTGTAGGTATCTTAGATTTGGACAAATTCCTTAACCCAGTGGGTGAATATGCTGTTAAGATTTGGAGCCATGAAAGTGGCCTGTGGGCCTGACCCATCCTGGTTCTGTGCTTTCTCTATTTAGACTCTGTTAATTATCATCCCAAATTTTTTGTTGAGTAGTAGCATTAATGATTGTAGGGACTGCAAATTCATGTGTTATTTGACTGTTAAAGTAGAGTCTTGTGTTTATAGGGGGAGTGAAGTAATAAAGCACTTCATTTTCGAGACAAGTCCAGGACGCCCATCTGTGATCCATCACCTATCAGCTGTACAATCTCAGGCAAGTCCATCTACAGACACTTGGAGCTTCTGTGTGGTGCTTAGGGAATGAGGGAAGTGTTGCAGACTGTGTGGATCCCTGGACACAGGAGATGATACATAAAGGTTGGTTTTTTTTTTTAAGTGGGAAGGTAAATTGAATAAAAAGCCACTATTGCCCCAAACTTGATAGACCATTTGTTAATCTGATCATGTAGAACATGGTTTTTAGAATGAAACAGGACTTTGTAAAATTTGATTCTGAAGGAAGTTTAATAAAAACACCTACACAATTACATGACATTAATGTTGCTTTTGTGTCCTTTCCTATTCAACAAGTGATCATATTTAGTGATCATAGACAAACACGATGGTTTGGATCATAGTAACTTAACAAAGGGGAGGCTATAGGAGAAGCAGTTATAGGATGAGAACTGACTGCTCTGGATGGGATTCCTTCTAGATCCCACCTAACTCCCCCAGGAAGATAATCCCCCTGGTACCTGCCTCACACCTGTCATCTCCCACAAGGAACAACCCCATTTCTGAATAACCTGCTGGTTAATGTGCTTCCTGACAAACAGCTCATTCCCAGTAGCCCGCCCCTGTCCCTTGATGCCTCTATCTTCCTCTGATTGCCTGTTCTGCCTCAATAAATAGCTGACTCATCAAATGACCTTCCTCAGCAACAAGTGTTGCTAAAATTTGCTAACCTCTGAACTCATGCTGGGTGTTGGACATTGTGGGATGAGTGGACTCGTCTTTGCTCCCAAAGAGAGAAACTGATCAAGGAAGAGATAGCCTTACATGAACAACTCAACATAAAACTTATCAATGAAGTGGAAGTGTGTGGAGTACCATGAAGCCCAAAGATGGGGCCTCTAGAGGCATTGCTTCAGTAAATATCCTGGAAGAATTGCAAGGGTGTGGAGAAAGGACAAAAACAGGATGCTATAAAACAAAATGATTAAAAAAAAGAAGAAGAAAAACATAACATTTGAGGCAAGAAGAATCACAGTAAGAAATGACCTGCTACCTTTTTTTTTTTTTTTTTATTGTAAAGATACTATACAGAGGGTTACAGTTACATGAGTGAGGTAATGAGTACACTTCTCTTGAACATTGTTACCTCCTCCATTGTTTTCCCCCTACCATCCCCTCCCTCCCTCCCTTCCCCGAGGTTCTTTTTTTTTTTTTTTTTTTGATTGTGATTAAGTGATTACATAATTTCAAAGTCACAAGTTCATTCTAACTTTCCTGGAGCAAATTGTCTATCACAGTCTGTAATTTATAACAGTGTTCACATGTTATATACCATATTTGTGATCAGCAGCATGGGGATATTTAGTAGTGGTTCAACCAGATGAGCGGGAGTTCTTTGTTTCTTTAGTCCTGTTAGTTTTGTCATATCACCTAACATTTTGGATTTAGCATCCACTTATCAGGGAGACCATGTACCGTTTGTCTCTTCGTTCTTGGCTTACCTCGCTCAACATGATTCCTTCTAGCTCCATCCATTTCCCTGCAAATGCCATTATTTTGTCATTTCTAATGGCTGCATAATATTCCATTGTGTATAGATACCACAATTTTTGGATCCATTCATCTGTGGTGGGGCATCTAGGTTGTTTCCATATCCTAGCTATTGCGAACAGTGCTGCAATAAACATGGAGGTGCACGTGTCCTTGTATATTGGTTCCTGTTGTTCAGGGTAGATGCCTAGAAGGACCTGCTACCTTTTTAAGAATGAGGCAGTATGAAAGCTGGATGTGTGTTACATTCTGAAAAGAGAGAAAGGTACAAGAGGAGAAAGAAGACTAAGCATGATGAGATGTTTGAGAGTAAATTTGCTGCAGTGGACAGGCCCCATCCTCAGCATCTTCCCCAACCTGAAGAAGGGGAGGGGAGAGAAGAGGAAAGGAGGGGAGATAGCATCAGCAGCAAGAGAAGGAGGAATGGAGGTGGGGGGAGAGCCAGAGACATAGATATGCCATTCAGAGGCATGCCCCCAGAGACCTACTTCCTCCAACTAGGCCCTACATTCTAATATTCCATTCAGCTATGAATTTACCAATGGCTTAATACATTGGTGGGCTTAGCACCCTTTGACATAACCACCTCTTAGTAGCACCACCACTCTGAGGGCACACCTTCCACACATGAGCCTTTAGGGACATTTTATATCCAAACTATTAACTGTACACTACATAAAATGTATCATCTTACCTATCTTTACCATTCTGTGAAAGGGAATACTTACACATTGTGTCCAAACATCACCACCATCATCCATCCATCTCCCCCAACTGAAATTCAGTATCCAATAGCTCCCCATGCTCTTTTCCCTACAGCTCTTAGCCCACCATTCTACTATATGTCTCTATGAATTTGTAGATTACTGTGGAGTCCAAGGAAGGGACCTTTATGAGTGGAATTGGTTTTTGTGACTGTCCTATTTCACTTAGCAGAATGTTCTACAATAAACATCAAATTTCCCTATCTATCTAGTCTATTTAATATTTTAGAGTTTAGGATTGAATTCAGAACTTATGCTTACTAAGCATGACTATACTGCTCAATTATAGTCCCAGCCTCCTTCCTTTTTAAGACTGAATCATATTCCTTTAAATAGATCTATGTATCTGTCATCTATCAGCTGACATTTGGCTTCCTTTAATCTTTTGCCTTTTGTGAATGGATGTACAGAGGTGTCTTTTGATCCTGATTTCATTTCTTTTGGATATATACTCACAAGTGCTATTGCTGGATTGCATAGCAATTCTATTTTTTATTTTTAGAGGAAACTTCGTACTGTTTTCCGTGGCAGCTATTACATTTTACATTTCCACCAGCAGTTTCTCCACATCTTCACCAATACTTGTTATTTAATGGGGTTTTGTTGTTGATAGTGTCTGTCATGATAGATGAAAGGTGCTGTCTCATCGTAACTTTGTGTTTCTCTAATTATCAGCTGTATTCAACTTTTTTCATGTTTGTTAGCCATCTGTCATCTTTGTGAAATATGTTCACTTTTTTTTAAAAAAGAAATCAGATTACTGTTTGTGGTTAAGTTTTAGGAGTTCTTTGGTATATTCTGATGATTTGTTATCAAGTCTGATATGGTTTGCAAATATTTTTCTCCCATTCCATAGGTTACTCTTTTATTTTATTGTTTTTCTTTGCTACAAGAGGCTTCTTAATTCCACTGGTTCATTTTTGTTTTTGTTGCCTATGCTTTCTGTGTCATTTCTAAAAACTGATTGCCAAATTCAATGTCATGAAACTTTTGTCCTATGTTTTCTTCTAGAAGCTTTAGAATTTTAGGTCTCAGATTTAGGTCTTCAGTCCATTTCTCAATTTCACTGTTTCTCCATGTGGATTTCCAGTTTCCTAATACCATTTGCTGAAGAGGCTCCTTATTGTGTCGTTCTGGCAATAGATCATTTGGCCATATATATAGGGACTTATCTTTGGGTTTTCTATTCTGTTGAATTGTTCGCTGCCTTAAAGCCTGTCCACATTGTTTTGATAATATTGTTTTTATAACATGGTTTGAAATCAGAAAGTATAAGGTCTCTAACATTTTTTTTGTAGTAATGGGGCTTGAACTCAGGGCTTTGACTCTGTCCCTGAGCTCTTTTGCTTAAAACTAGCATTCCAGAACTTTGAGCCATAGCTCCACTTCCAGTTTTCTAGTGGTTAATTGGAGATAGGAGTCTCACAGACTTTCCTGCCTGGGCTGGCTTTGAACTGAGGTCCTCAGATCTCAGCCTCCTGAGTTACTAGGATTATAGGAATGAGCCACCAGTGCCTGGCCTCTAACATTTGCTTTTTTAATTAAAATGTTTTCATAGTTGAATAAGAGTGGCAAAGTCAGGCATACTTCATTGCTCCTGATCTTAAAATAAAAATTGCCTAATCTTGCTGGGTGTCAGTAGCTAACACCTATAATCCTAGCTATTCAAGATACTGAAATCTGAGGACCACTGTGTAAAGCCAGACCAGGCAGACAAATCTGAGAAAGTGGTAAAGTACCAACCATAAGCAGGGGGAGGGAAAGCCAAGCAAGAGCACAAGTCCTTGAGTTCAAGCCACAGTACCAACTCTCTCACACACACATGCACATACACACACACACACACACACACACACACACACACACACACACACACACACACACACACACACACACACACACAAAGCCACCAGTCTTTTACCATTGGGTATATTTTTGTGACTTTCATAGATAGCCATTATTATGTTGAAGTAGTTTCCTTTCATTCCTAGACTGCTGCTTGTTTTTATTCTGAAAAGGTACACACTTGGTCAAATGCTTTTTCTACAACAGTTGAGATGATCATGTTTTCTTCATTTGTTAATATAGTAACCAACATTGATTGGTTTTCATATGTTGAACCATCCTTGCATTCTAAGAGTAAACTCCCACTTGGTAATGGTATACAGTCCTTTTACTATTCAGTTTGCTATTTATTTGTTGAGGATTTTTGCATTGATGTTCATAAGCTATACCAATTTGTATGCTTCTTGTAGTGTCTATCTGGCTTTAGTATGAGGACCTTATGGAACAAGTTAAGATTAAATAAAGATTTAAGAAAGATTTGTGTTAATTCTTTATATGCTTAGCAGAATATAAATTCTAATACTCACTCAAAATTGATTCTCTACCACTAGAGCCACAGTTCCACTTCTGGCTCTTTGGGTGGTTAATTGGAGATAAGTCTCAGTCTTTCATACCTGGGATGGTTTTGAACCCTGATTTACGTATCTCAGCTTCCTGAGTAGCTAGGATCACAGGCATGAGCTAACAGTGCCTGGCTCATGCTCTTAGTTTTTGTTTTGTTTTGAGACATAGTCTCTTTGTATAGCCCAAGCTGGGCTTAAATTCACAATCCTCCTACCTCAGCCTCTGATTTTATTTGTGATTTCTTCTTTGACTCACTGGTTGTTTAAGAGTGTTTAATATCTGGGCTGGGAAGTTGGCTCAGTGGTAGAGCGCTTGCCTTGCATGCCTGAGGCCCTGGGTTCGATTCCTTAGCACCACATAAGCAAAAAAGGAAAAACCCGGAAGTGGTGCTGTGACTCAAGTGGTAGAGCGCTAGCCCAGAGCTGAGGGACAGTGCCCAGGCCCAGAGTTCAGGTCCCATGACCGGACCCCCCCCCCCCAAAAAAAAAAAGAGTGTTTAATATCCGTGTAACCAGTTTCACTTCTACTGTTGAATTCTAGCTTCATGCTATTGTGATTATAAAAGATACTTTGTATTATTTTAATTGTTTTTTAATTTATTAAGACATTTTATAATCTCTAGCTGGAGAATGTCTGACAAGTCATCTGTCCTAGGGAGTGTTCTGAATAATGTCTTCCCTCCTATTTTAATATTGTTCAAATACTGTTTCCTTATTGCTCTGATATTTGATTTTCCATCCATTATTCACAGTGGAATATTAAGCCAGGCATAGTGGCATACCTTTGTAATCTTAGCACTTAAGAGGCTGAAGCAGGCGTATGGTATAGACTACATAGTGAGACACTGTCTTAAGAAAGAAAAAAAAAGTATGTCAGGCAGGCATCAGTAGTTCATGTGTATAATCCTATCTACTGAGGAGGCAGATGAAGGTGAGAGACTCTTATCTACAATTAATAAGCAAGAAGTAGAGACATTGCCCAAGTGGCAGAACACCAGCTGTGGATGAAGAAGCTGAGCAAAAAACTTAAGATCATAAGACTCTGAGTTCAAGCCCAATTAACTGAAAACAAAAAGAGATATTGAAATCTTTCATTGACAGTTGTCTGTTTTTTCAGTTCTGTCAATGTTTATTCAGATATTTAGAAGTTCTGAATGTTACATATGTTTATAATTTTTTTACCCTCCTGCCTAATATATATGTATATATATACATATACACCTATGGAGGGTATTTTTTTTCATTGACTTTTCTCAATTATTTTTCTTTTTTTGGGGGGGGGGGGGGAGTCTGGTCATGGGGCCTGAACTCTGGGCCTGGGCACTGTCCCTCAGCTCTTCAGCTCTAGGCTAGCGCTCTACCACTTGAGCCACAGCGCCACTTCCGGCTTTTTTCTTTTTGCTTATGTGGTGCTGAGGAATCAAACCCAAGGCCTCTGGCATGCAAGGCATTCGCTCTACCACTGAGCCACCTTCCCAGCCCCTCTCAATTATTTTTCTGTTCTCTCTCATTTACCCTCCTTCTGGACCTTTTATATGATACTGTGTCCTTTGGCTCATATGACAGTTTTTGACCTAAACTCTGTTTTGTCTATACTACTTTGCTCCCTTTTGGTTACTGTTTGTATGGAATATTTTCCATTTTACCCTTTTAGCCTGTATGTATTCTTATATCTAAACTGAATGTCTTATAGATTAGCATATAGCTGGGTCCTGTGTTTTTAAACCCATTCTGCCTACTGTTGTCTTCTGATTGGGGTGTTTGACACATTTTCATTTATGGTAATTGCTGACAAGAAAATATTTATTCTTGGGGGCTGGGAAGGTGGCTTAGTGGTAGAGCGCTTGCCTTGCATGCCTGAGGCCCTGGGTTCGATTCCTCAGCACCACATAAGCAAAAAAGAAAAAAGCCAGAAGTGGAGCTGTGGCTCAAGAGTGGTAGAGCGCTAGCCTTGAGCTGAAGAGCTGAGGGACAGTGCCCAGGCCCAGAGTTCAGGCCCTACAACTGGACCCAAAAAAAAAAAAAAAAGAAAAAATAGAAAAGAAAATATTTATTCTGCCATTTGTTGTTATTTTCTATGTGTCTTACAGCTTTTCTCTCATTTCCTCTATCATTGCCTTCCTGTGGATTTAGTTGACTTTCTAGAGACAATTTTGAATTCTTTCTCATTTGTATATATTTGATACAACTTTGTGGTTTCCATAGGGATTGCATATTTAACATCTTAAAGGTATAGCACTCTGTCTTAAGTTCCAATTTAACTTTAGTCACATACAGTATCCCCTCCTTTATAGTCCTACCTATTCCTACTTACGCTACTGATATCACACACATTGCATCTTTATGAATTGTGTACTCATTATCCTAGATTTATAACTTAAAGTTGTTTATATATTTTTCTTTTTAAAGCATGAAGAATATTAAAGGTGGAGTTATAGGCTACAAATAGAGCATAGCATGAACTAAGCTCAAGGTCCACAATAAAAAAAATTTAAGGTGGCAAAATTGTATTATACAATTACTAAAGTGGTAAATTTTTTATTATGTGTATTTCACCACTATATAAAATACATAGAGTACAAATGCTCATGTTCAAAAAAAAAAGAATTCTGAACAGAAACTTTTTGGCATGTCTGGTAATGACATGGAAGATGAACAGTATGAAGGAGCATCCTTCTCCATTGCAGATAAGAGTCTGTGTGTCATGCTAGGTGGCATTGTTATACGACAAGCTGAATCTCTGGCTTTGAGGGACAGGAGCTGGGAGCTGGGGAGGAGGCGTGGCTTTTAGGATGCCTTTCTATAGCCTGCATGTGGCAGATGCTGAGAAGGGAAGATTTGTGCTGTCTCCTACCCCAGATCAGCCAGGGGCACATAGGCAGTGCTTATGTGTGACCACAAGGAGGGGACACTAAGAAGAGGCTACTCCACACTGTCTCCTAAGAGCCCATTCATTCTATTTCTGCTCCCCGCAGTCTCCAAGTTGGAGTGCATCTGGCTTCAGCTTGCTTCCCTCTACTGTCACTCTCCCCAAGCAGTGCAGCCACAGTCCTCTGTGCCTCCTCTGTGCCTCTGCATTCAGTTTGAGTGCACTGAGCACACTGAATCCCAACAGCATTAGGAGGCAGCTTGTCTGTGAGCTGTCCTACCTTGCAGATGAGAAGACCAGCTGCCACCCCCTCCCACCTACCCCAGGAGCTAGCTCACCCATGCATGTGCTGCTTCTAGGAGGCCCATGTCCTGCTCCCAGACTATACCTCTAAACCTCATACTCCTCAGATTGGAAGCCCCACTCCCCACAGTTGGCAGAGTACAGAATAGACAGACTGATAGACATTCATCAAGGGTAGAGGAGTTCTGAGAATCCAGCCTCCACCTCACCTTTCATGGAAGACCAGGAGATAGTGATGATCTTTTATTTCAGAGTATACTAATTCAAAATTAATGATGTCAGATTAACCTTTTTTTTTTTTTTTTTTTTTTGAGACAGAGTGTCACTGTAGTCCAGGCTATCCTTGAACTAGTGGTTTTCCTGCCCTTATACACATACCCAGATCTGGGATTACAGAAGTGTACCACAATGTTCACTTACCAAATAAAATTTATTTTGCTACCTGGGTTGAATTTTTAGACTCTGTATACACAGGACTCTTTGATACCAGCAGCAGTGTATCCCAAAGCCATGGAGAGGCTCCTAGAGAGGCCGTGCCAGTCTTGTGCTGTAGGGCATAGAATCTTGGATAGCTTATACAGTGTCTATACCCCTCAGTTCTGGTGAGCTAGACCTCCCAGTATCATCCTGAGGATCAAAGGAAACCTCTGACTTGAGCAGGGAAATGCAGACCAGTTTCTGGTTGAAGATTTTGCCTCTGGACCTGGAAATTTCTAATACACACTGAAGCCCTGCAGACTAATAATGTACTTTCCTTATTTCTCCTCTCTTCTAGCCAGCGGCTACTGCACAATCCCTGACAGACTAAGAAATGAGAAAAATATCGAACCATGGGACCCTGCGGGTGACGAAGGTGGCATATCCACTAGGACTGTGTGTGGGCCTGTTCATTTATGTCGCCTACATCAGGTGGCACAGGGCCTCCGCTGCCCAGGCCTTCTTCACCATTGCTGCGGCAGCCTCGGGGGCACGGTGGGGCCAGCAGGCCCACAGCTCCTCTGTTTCAGCTGCGCAGAGTCATGAGGTCTTCTACGGGATCATGTTTGATGCCGGAAGCACTGGCACCCGCATACATGTCTTCCAGTTTGCCCGGCCACCTGGAGGTACTCTGGCCTGACCATGAGCTTCTTTGATCTGAGATATTGGGTCTGCCTTTTCCCTCTCTCATGCAGGGGTCTTAGAATCTCTTCACTTCAAAAACCTGTGTGGGTTGGAATCCCTGGCTTGGGCTCACCTTGTTATTAGAGTTTTTTCCTAACATGTGAAAGCCCCACGACCAAAAAATAATAATAATAGTTTAAAACTTGCATGTTTGGAGGGCACGGCTCAAGAAAAACTCCAAATCTGCAGAGTCTTATAATATAATCACCCCAGAAACAAGAAAGTCATTTTTATTTATTTATTTATTTTATCAGCCCTGGAGCTTGAACTCAGGGTCTAGGCACAGTCCCTGCATTTTTTTATTTTTTTATTTTTTTGCTCAAGGCTAGTACTCTACCACCTGACCCACAGCTCTACTTCTGGCTTCTTGATGGCTAGTTAGAGATAAGAGTCTCATGGACTTTCCTGCCTGGGCAGCTTCAAACTGTGATCCTTAGATCATAGTCTCCTGATAGCTAGGATTACAGGTGTGAACCACCAGAACCTGGCAATTTATTTGCAATTTGGAATTATTCATCCTGTATGAATCAGCTAGAATTACCTTTTAAAATTTAGAACTTTAAATGGATGCAAGTCTTTGGAAATTACCTTTAATAACGTTGGGCTTTTTTTTCTTTTGTATTTAGGATAATGATGATGATTGTGTGTGTGTGTGAGAGAGGGGGGGGGAAGAAGGGAGAGGGAGGGAGGGAGAGGGAGGGAGGGAGAGGGAGGGAAGGAAGGAGAAGAGAGAGAGAGGAGAGAGAGAGAGACTGGGGATCAAAGCCAGGGGAGTACTATGCCACTGAGCCATACCCAGCCTTAAGTTGATTTTTTAGATAAATCAAAATTCTGGCCCAAACATAGATATCATACTCAGCTTAGTTAGCTGAACTAAGAGAGTCGAAATTTCAACAGAAACATGCTAAGGGTGCCTGTCACTCTGGGATTAGTCTGTGAAGTCAGACATCTGACCTTAAAACATCTAACTAGTCTCAGTTATGTATATTCAAACCTCATGTATATATTATAATTGTGCCTTAAAAAAATATTTTCCCCTTAGAAACTCCCACCTTGACCCATGAGACCTTCAAAGCACTGAAGCCTGGTCTTTCTGCTTATGCTGATGACGTTGAAAAGGTAAACACTTGTGTCTACAAACAAGCTTTTATGTCCTCTGATGGTGTAATTTGTAAAAGTTAACTCTTTTTCTTTGACTTTGGTGGGCCATCTCAGGAGAAGGAATCTTTTCTGGTGTTCCCTGGGCCCTTCCATGCCACTAAGGACAAGTGGAGAGGAGGGTGCAGGTGTGCTTCAGACATCCCAGATCCACCCACAAGCGTGCCAGCCCAGCACAGGGTCCTAAAGTCTTAGTGCAGTTCAGAAGCCCAGATGCTGTAATTATAGAAAAATGCATTCTTTAGGGCTGGGAAGGTGGCTCAGTGGTAGAGTGCTTGCCTCGCATGCATAAGGCCCTGGGTTCGATTCCTCAGCACCACATAAGCAGAAAAAAGCCAGAAGTGGTGTTGTGGCTCAAGTGATAGAGCGCTAGCTTTGAGCTGAAGCCTTGAGGGACAGCATTCAGGTGTCCAGCCCCCATGACCAACCAAAAAAAAAAAAAAAAAAAGCATTCTTTGGAGTTGAGTATTTGCCTTGCTTCTGGAGGCCCAGCATTGGTTTTACTGTATGTGTGTATGTCCACAAAACCAAATAAATTCCAAAGAGATTTCATTAAACTGTCAATGATTTGATACATTTATGTTATATTCACTTCTTCTAAAGTCTCTAATGCTTACCACTACACTAATACAGGACACCTGGTTTTCTCTGAAGGCTGCTTATAGAGCTGTGAATTCTCTAATGGTTCTAGAGGCCTTTCTCCATCTTCTCTCCTTGTTCCAGTGTCCTTATACATGCCAGTACCATTTGAATCACTGTCTCCTGTTGACTTTTAGAATTATGCTTATTATAAACCCCAAAGGGCCAATCACATTCTAAGCAAGTGAGTGAGCTATACCTCTAAACTACATCCTTAGCCCAGGTCCAACATTAAGTCATGAGTCAATCCATACTTACTGCCCACAGATGTGTCATGGCTTTAGGCAATGTTCTGCAAGTTCTGCCATTCTCTAACTTGGATATAAATTAAAAAAAAAAAAAAACAAAAAAAAAAACAGTGGTACAAAAGTGGCCCATAGCTCACTCCTGTAATCCTAGCTACTCAAGAAACTAAGATCTGAGGATCTCATTTGAAGCTAGTCCAGGCAGAAAAGTCCCCTAGACTACCACCAATTAACTAGCAAAAATGCCAGATTAGAGGCATGGCTCAAGTATTAGAGTACCAGCCATGAGCAACAAGCTTAGCAAGAGCAGAAGACCCCAAGTTCAAGCACTAGAATGGGCACAAGTGGCCAATAGGGCTAGAGCAATGGCTCAAGTAATAGTGTGCCTGCCTGGCAAGTGTAGGGTCTAAAGTCATACCCTACTACCAAGAAAAAAAATAGCTATAGATTAAACCTAATTAAGCGAGATAGCTTTAGAGTAAACTGAATACTTTTGAAATCTTTCTTGTAGGTAGGTAGGTAAGGTACATTTAGTGAATCAAATGTCCAAGCTACCCAGGTCAACAGTGAGAGTATCACTCTGCCTCCAGTTTGCTTCCTGAGTCACACTCCTGCTTTTTTATGTAGGCTTCGTGAGCCAGTATGTATGTCCATGAGCAGTTGGTATGTCTTCTCCTTTTTCAACACAATAAAGTAGCACAGTCTGCCACCTAGTACTACCTCATCACCCCCATATGAAAAGATATCTTCAGATGAATTCATGGAATGATATTTTGGTAGAAAGCATTGTGAGTTTTCTCCTTGGAAAAACATTGCCAAGTACAATATAATTATTCATAAGGCTTTCTTTCTATAAGATGCCCTAGAATTTCCTATTTCCTATACTCTCATGATATCTAATAGAATTACAGCTTATATGTGGTTGCCCAGTAAGGGATAATGACAAAGATAATCATTGCTACTCCTCAGAAGGCTCAGAAGTTACTGTACAGGGCAGGCTCAGCTTCATAACTTCTGATCTGCCCTTACTCTGCCACATTCTACACTAAGGTCCTTTTCCCATGTTCTCTAGGTCCCCGTGTCTCCACATGTTGGCAGTATCATTTGAGTCACTGTTTTCTGTTGACTGAAAATTTAAAAAATATTATGCTTACAATAAATCCAAAAGAGCTAAGGTAACTGTGACTCTGTATGCTAGGCATGACAGACTTGCTTTGTTTTTACTATATATACAGAGCACGCAGGGGATCCAGGAGCTGCTGGATGTTGCCAAGCAAGACATCCCATTTGACTTCTGGAAGGCCACCCCTCTGGTCCTCAAGGCCACAGCTGGTTTGCGCCTGTTACCAGGAGAAAAGGCTCAGAAGTTACTACAAAAGGTGAGCTTGGCTGTATTCCCCCAAGAATTGCTAGTGATAGCTACAAACACTAATTCTGCCAGGAGGAGGGCCATGAGCATGTGGAGGAGGGAGGCGGACAGAGGGAAAGGAACAGTAGGTGAATACAACCATAATAGTCAATGCATATATGTGAAAATGGAACTAGGAATTTTGAAGAGCTAGGTAGGAATGGAATAAATGAGGAGGAAAATGATAGGAGTGACTGTTATCAAGATGCATTGTACACATATGTAGACATGTTAAAATCCTTTGTACACCTATTTGAAGTGAAAAAGAGGATATATATATATATATATGTATATACACACAAAAATGTCTAGGTGGGATTTCCTTCAAAAGCATAGTGCATTTAAAACAAAGTTGTTTTTCTTATTATTTATACATAGATTTACTCTAAAAAAACAGCCTTACATGTTCAGTAATGACTAGGGGACTAGTTATGCTTTGCTTTGTTTTGTTGTTTTGAGACAAGATCAAAGTACTCCAGGGTAGTCCTTCTTCTTCAAGACATAATTCAGCTTTCTAGTATTTATATTAAACTGTCTATTGACTGTTGAAAGAGGTTACACCATGGAATCTCCTGTGTATACCATATTTTAGCCACTGTTTTAGATATAGAAGCTAATGTTTGCTGAACCTGCCTCTGGTGAGTTCAATGAGCTCTTTCATAAAAAACAAACCAGCAAGCTTCTGCTGCTATCAGATTACTCAACACAATGAACTAAGTATATATGCAAGGGTTCAGCCAGCTAACGTTCACTGTCTAGGATTTAGAAGCTGATATTTGCTGGTTTCTATATCAGCAGAATGGCTGAGATTAAAATGCTTCAGATATGTTCTTACGAAAAGAGTAACCCAGTGATATTCTAGTGCTTTCAGCTTTCTCAGCTCCTCCAACTAAGTGTGCATGTAAGAGTTCATTAAAGCTACCTTATCCATTGTAAGATTTAGACACTGATATTTGCCGAACCTACTCTCAGTGAAAACTCCATTGGGTTCAATGAATATGTTCTCATATATATTTATATTTTGGGTCTAATAGGCACATATGAGAGAAATCTAAGTATGGAAATAATCTATATATGTGTCCTTTGTCTCTCTGAGCCTAGCTTACTTTATTCAATATGATTTTTTCCCAGGTTTATCCATTTCCCCACATATGACAGAATATTATTCTTCCTGATGGGTGAACAAAATTCCATTGTGTGTGTGTGTGTGTGTGTGTGTGTGTGTGTGTGTGTGTGTGTGCGTGTGCAAGCGCGTGCGCGCGCATGCGCGCACTATTCATGGGGCTTGAACTCAGGGCCTGAGCACTATCCCTGAGAGCTTTTGTGCACAAGGCTAGTTCTCTACCACTTGAGCTACAGCTCCACTTCTGGCTTTTTGGTAGTTAATTGAAGATAAGAGTCTCACAGACTTTCCTGCCCAGGCCAGCTCCCTACTGTGATTCTCACATCTCAGCCTCCTGAGTAGCAAGAATTACAGGCATGATCACCAGTGCCTGGTTATATCACATTTTCATAATCCATTCATTGAATGTAGGGCATCTGGACTATTTCTGTAACTTGGTTATAGTGAATAATGATTCAATGAACATGAATGTATAGGTAGCTTTATTAAATCCTGACTTGCCACCTAGGAAAAAATTTTTGGTGCTAGTCTTGAGGCTTGAACTCAGGGCCTGGGTGCTGTCTCTGAGCTTTTTGGCTCAAGGCTAGCATTCTACCACTTGAGCCACAGCTCCACCTCTGGCTTTTTGGTGATTAATTGGAGATAAAAGTCTCATGGACTTTCTTGCATAGCCTTTTGTTAAACTGCAATCCTCAGATCTCAGCTTCTTATAGGCGTGAACCACCGACGCCATTCACTACCTCGGAATTTGATGTAGTCAGAATGCCATGGGAGCTCAGTGCCTTAATACCTCAGCCCAAGCTTTTTGCTAAATCTCCTTGGTACCTGAGTCCTACTCTTGGTCTGATACTCAGATGTGACTGCTCAAGAGATCCTTTAGCCTCCTCCCTCCTCTAAAGCTTCTCAGGGCTTATATTTCTGCAGCTACTCAGTGTTCTGCAGTAGGGCTAGGAATAAGTCTTCCAACCCACTGAGGTTAGGAAAGAGCTCTAAACACAGGATCTCCCCACCTCTCTCTGTTCTTACAATATTTAGCTGTGAGGTTGTGGTCCTTCAGATTAGGACTTTAGGACATGAGAAAGGTTTATGTGGACAGATACACTGAAGCTGCTGTCCTAAAACTTACTGGAAGCTTACAGAGGGACATGCCCAATTGTTCATGGCTTCCACCTCTCTGCCCAGATGTGTCACTGAACAGTGCCCTAGGGAACACAAATGGTCCTCAAGTTTGAGTTCCCCTTGTAGGGCTTTTTACTTCAGGTCATTTCCCATGGCCAGGTAGGCTAAGCCAGCCTAACCCCAGGCCATCCATTCCCCCAGAGATTTTCAAGTACAAAACAACCTAAGACAAGCCACCCCAGAGGAGATTATCTGAGGAAGCCCTCACAGAAAGTTGAAGCTTAAAGCAAAACGTAAGCTTTGCCTCAGAACACAGCAGAGCCTTCAGTGTTCTGCTACTGCCTACTGGACACATGGTGCACCTAGAAACCACAGACTTTACTCTCTTCTTGATTTGAGTTTATTGTTGTTGCTGTTGTTGTTGTTGGGGAGTTGCTTGTTTTGAGATTGATGCATAGTGTAAGCTAGCTTCAAACTTAAGATCTGCCTCTGCCTCCTGAGTGCTGGGGTGACAAGGGTGCACGGTATTACTCCACTTTAAAAAGTCTCTTTTTATATTCAGGTGAAAGAGGTGTTTAAAGCATCACCTTTCCTGGTAGGTGATGACTGTGTCTCCATCATGAACGGAACGGACGAAGGTGAGTGACAGACATTGCAACTGGACACTGCTACATGGCAGTGATACAGGGCTGTTGGGAATTCCAGGCCTGGGAGCTCTTTCATTAGTCAACTACGGGGGTGAAGGATAATTGACATTATTGTCCCATTTACAAATTAAGTATCCCAGAGGAGTATTAGGGGGCTAGTGTGGAGAGGTAGATTCTTACCTTGACAAACTCTAAACCTGGAACAAATGAAGTCTCTAAAAAACATGTCTTTTGGCTTTAAAAAAAATTGGACAGAATTCCAGTTGCTGCCACGTTTAGAACATTAAAGTTGCATTACTCATTCTACAATAGACACTAAAGGTTCCTCATGGGCCCTTGCTTTTAAACATGACCTTAAGAGTGAATTTGTGTGGAGTAGAGGGAACACTGGTCTCACTTACTAAAGATGAAGCTGCGGATGAAGCACCAGAGGAAGACATGTATATGGCAAAGTGTTCTAGGTTTTAGTGTGGAATCTTCTAGAATAATCTCTCAGAAGTCCCTGTATTCGTTTACACACAGTGCTTTTCTCTGAGTGGTCTAAAGGGCATGAGTTTGGGTTCCTCTTGTCGGGCTCCTGGAATCTGGAACTAGTAGGTAGTGGTCCTGGGTGTTGAACTGACAGTCTCAAGTGACTGAAACGCTGCCTGTGCCTCTCTGTTGCAGGTGTCTCAGCGTGGATCACCGTCAATTTCCTAACAGGTGTGTGTCCACTTGATGGGAAAGGCTAGTTGTTCTCAGTCCTGAAAGGGCTTTCTGGAGCACAGGGGCCTCGTTTCCATAACCCCCGGCTTTCAGTGCTGCTGGTCCAGAGGTAGGCTGTGGGTGTTGGGTAGCTGGATATCCATCTGGCTTGGCAGATAGCCATGAGCTCACAGGTATATATGTACTTGGAGTGCCTGCCCACTCAGCCCTTTCTCCTAGCCTAGCCAGCATCTGTCTGACACCTGCCGAGCATCTACCAGAGGCCCTGCACTCTCATTTGTTTGTGAGAGAGGTAGTAAATGAGACCAGTATGCCTTCAAATATTCAGTGTGATGTGAATGCTAATTATCTTATACTAGATATGTCTGTTGTTAAAAGATATACAGCAAGAAGTTACTGTCATAAATCATTCCCAGGTGTATGTGTGAAGGTTTCTTCATAGGCTTCACCTTTTAAGAGGTCAGGATTCTCCACCTCAGATGCCTCTAGAGAGCAGAGCAGAGACAGGACTAAAGTAGGGGGCCCTACGGCCAGTGTCAGCATATTGAAGAATACCCTGTCTCCTGGGAGGTGAGACAGGCCTCCAAGCAACTCCAGGCCCTCTCTGGCAGTCAGTGTCATCCTGTCCTGTCATTATTCACATCAGACAGCCAGTAGAGCCACTGATCTTGCCCTTTAAACGTATAGCATACCTTTAAACAAATTTTTTTTAAATAGTTGCAGCTACTTCCCTATCTTGTTTTTCATTCCACTAAAGGGCCCGGCTTTTGACCTCTCTTGATCTCCCTACTATTCTTGGCAGCTTCCTAATACGACAGTGCTGTGTCTTTACTCGCTGTGATCTAGGCAGTTTGAAAACTCCAGGAAGGAGCAGTGTGGGCATGCTGGATTTGGGCGGAGGATCCACTCAGATCACCTTCCTTCCACGGGTTGAGGTAATCAGCTGGTCCTGCCCTGGGAGCAGGACAGGGGCTGCCAGGGGTGCACTGCATCCATCTCTACTGGGAGCCCGCAGCTGCTCGGGGCAGGCCCTTTGGCTGATGTAAGGCTCCCCATCTGAGCTCTCTCACAGATAAAGCTTCTGACTGGGAAACGAAAACAAAACAGAAATTCATTTTGTAATGGTGCAACAAAAACCTTTGGATCAGAAAATATGAAATGGATGCTTCCTATCCCCTGTGGGGTTCCAGGGAAGGTACAAAGATCTTTGTAGTCTTATGAAGTCTGTAGGCAACCCTTTTTGATATAGTAGTTCTAAAGGACACAAAAAAAGACTTGTAGCTAAGACCATCTACTATCTTAAATAGCTTTCTTTACCCACCCATTTTCTTATTAACTTGCTTAAATTTATGATATGCTACTTGTCTGTATGGTCTGTAGTTGTCACATTGATAAAATGCAGCTAAATATGGTAGTTCACACCTGTAATACCAGTACTTCAGAACCTGAGGCAGGAGGATCTCAAGTTCAAGGTCAGCCTGAGCAACTAGAGCACCTGTCATGAAATAAAAAGTTCTAAGAATGTAGAACAGTGATAGAACATTCGCCTAATAAGCATGAGGCCCAGTACTGCTAAAAAGCAAATCAAAATGCTATTCAAAAGGGGAAACATTCTGGATGTTTTTTCATTGCTTGTTCCCTACTGTCACAGCAGTAGATTGCATGTCAAGCTCAATGAACTCCATATGAATGTTCCTGTTTGACTAAATGAATTGAGGGAGGAGGGGACAATCTATTGGAAAAAACCACAGGAAACACAGTAACCTTCATGTTCCTCCCCAGGGCACCCTTCAGACCTCCCCACCAGGCCACCTGACAGCGCTGCAGATGTTTAACAGGACCTACAAGCTCTATTCCTACAGGTAGGTTTTCTAGGGGTAAGGGAGGCTGACTGTCCATGCTGGCAGCTCCAGTGCCCCTGGTATGCCTCCCACGCCTGCCTCTCTGCAGGACTAGATCCCAGAATAATCACCAGTCTCAGCAGCTTTGCGCTGTGAGTCCCTGGAAACCTTCTTCTTCTGGCTCCTCTCCTCTCTCCTTTAAAAAATGTATTTGTAGTAAAATCGCATTCATCTTTTGTGTTCACTCTGTTCTGCATTTAAGGAGGCTCACAAAATCTTAGAGGAGCCCAGGGACTGTGCAGGAACTTGGTGAACCACGCGGTACCTTCAGTCAATTCTTGTACCTTATTTACTGCCACATTCACTGCAGTTTCCACAGCTCCCCAGTGAGCTCAATAAGCCCTCTTGTGTTGAATTACTAAGCTAAATACTCTAAATGTTGTGAGAAGCTTCTAAAAGAAGCAAGATAGCCCATAACTGCTTTGCTCCAAGATCCTGCCTTTCCCATTCATGATGGGACCAGGCAGGATACCAAGCTTTCCCGTCTTACCTTCACAGCTACCTGGGGCTAGGACTGATGTCAGCGCGGCTGGCAATCTTGGGTGGCGTGGAAGGGAAACCTGGTGAGTGAAATGAACTGCTCGAGGTTGTATCCTCACCCTCCGTGGGAATGGGAAATACCTCTCCTACCCCTCTGCTTGTCCACTCAGCCAAAGGGGCTATTGCTGGTCTGGGAGGGACGAGCTGTAGATTTTGTCAGGGATGTTCTATTGGGGAAGATGTGTTTTACCACTGCACTTTCTTTTTTAAGAGACAGTAGTGAAGTTATTTCTGAAACACAATCTAAGGGAGCCAAATAACTGGGTATAGTTGTCACCTACATTGGAGTAAACTTGTGTGTTAGCTATCACTATGCCAGAATACCTGAGATAAACAACTTATAAGAAGGACAAGTTTGTTTTGGTTCATGGTTTCAGAGTTTCAGTCTTTGTCTGTTGGCTTTGTCCCTTTTTAGCCAGTAAGAAAAGCAGAATGTCATGTTGAGTCCATGTGGCAGAGGAAATTGCTCATTATCATGGCATCTGGAATGGAAAGAAAGACAGAAATGGGCCAGAGTCCTACTGTCCCCTTCAAGGGCACGCCCCAGTGACCTCCCTCTTCCCAGTTACCTCATTCCTTCCCAAGTGACCTCATTCCCTGGAGGTCAAATCTGTACTTAAAGGAGATCACTGCTGCTCATTGCAGAGGCTCTGAAATGAGGCTGGTGTTGACATGTCTTTCCTGATAGCGTCCAGACATGTGCCTTGTTCTCCACACAGATCCCTGTGTGTTCCTTAGCACAAGGCTTCCTTTGCCTGCTCCACTGGCCCAGCAGCCTTCAAGGGCCTGGTCATTCAAGCAGAATTTTCACGTTCTGTCAGGTTCTATGTGTATCCTCATAGCGCTCTCCTTTATTGTAAACCAAGAATGTGTTTCTGTCTCAGAAACACCTGCAGCCCTCCACACAGAGCCAGGAATAGGTATTATGTGGCTAATGGGAAGTCAGGCAACCTTTGCCCCTGGATCATTAATGTTGAGTCTCAGTCTAGCTTCCTCCATCTTCTCCACTCAGTGCAGTATCAGAAAGGACTTGCCTCTGCAGTACCTAACGCTGGCACCCCAGGGCGGAGCGGCAAATGCCTAGGGTGGGACCTAGTGACAGACTACTTCCCTAGCATGCAAGAAGCCCTGTATTCTATCCCCAGCAACAAAGAGCTACAAAATGAACAGCAAATGAATTCAGCAGTGTTGGGCTGGGCAGTGTCTTTACTAGGGTCCCAGATCTCATGTGGCTATGGGAGAAGTGACTAATGCTGGAGTTGTGCACAGTACTCTCTTCCACATGGTCTCACTCACAGAAATGTAGCCTAGGCTGCTTACATGGCAACCCCAGGGAAGGATTGTGAGAATTGCCCTCTGAAAAGTCAATTCCCATGACTTCCCACTATCCAGCCAGAGTCCAGAGAAGGCAACAAGGCCCTCTCTGGGGACAACCAGGCTTTGCAGGGTGACAGTGTAGATATCACCTTGGACATCAGCCACCAACTTCCTTTGCTAGTTGTGGGCCTATCATTTGTGCTACAGGGTAAACAGATGAAATCAGGCATGGTGGCACCTAGTTATATTTGTACCTGACCCTGCCACCAGTCTACCAGTTATCTGTAAAAATGGGTTATGACAGCCTTCCCATAAAGTTGTTGTGGCCCCTAAGTGTGGAGATACGATCTGTGGGGGTTCTGTAGTCCTGTTTTCAGAAGTCATTGCTGCCACTGCATAATGGAACTGTGCTGTCCCCAGGAGGCAGGTCCCTGCTGCTCCCATGCCCTTATTGTAGCATACTCTGCCTCAACTTCCCTCCCAGCTCTTCAAAGTTCATCTGACAGCAGTAGATGCAACTTTTTTCCTCTTTCTCTCATCTTTATCTCTATTTCAGCAAAAGATGGGAAGGAGTTGGTCAGCCCTTGTTTGTCTCCTGGGTTCAAAGGCGAGTGGGAGCATGCTGAAGTCACATACAGGATTGCAGGACAGAAGGCAGGTACGGTGAATTTGTTGTCTCTCAGAGGCCTATAAGGGCCTGCTGCCCCCTGTGCCTTTTCCAAATACCACTTGCCCAGACAAGCTCACACTGGCCCTGCAATTGCAGGCAGCATAAACCCTGCTGGGGCTTGGAAGTACAGGTCATTGTCAGAGTCAAGACTCCCTGCCTCTCTCTCTCCCTCCTACAGTCTCTCTGCACGTTTTCTTTGTCTGTCACCAAACGCTTTTCTCCAGATGGCCCCAATTCCCTATCAAGCCCCCAGTGAAAAGGACCTTAGGACCCCATGACAAATGCTTTTATCTGGGCTGTTGGCCCAGAAGTCTGGCCACTTTTGTGTATAGCAATATAGAGGCTACTGCTTCAGCCTGCTCAGGCCATGTAGCCCCTGCCACCCTATGACTGGGACCTAGTGTTCTGATGGTCTTGTTCACTCTGGGTTCTTGGGTTTCTTCTGAGACAAATACTGAAATACTGCTCCCAGGCTGGTTACCACCTGCATGGGTGTGTCTGCCTTCAGTAACTGGGCAGGTCAGTCTGGTTTAGTTGTCCCCTATGCACGTACCAAGGGCCAGAGCTTGCCATAGGGACAGGGCACACACCAGATAGTGCAGCTGGGTCCAGTGGGAAGAGTCAGGCAGTGGAAATACAGGAACTAGTGCTTTGAAGAACAATAAATAGGCAGAGATGAGTGCCAAGAGGAGACTGCAGTGTTAATCAGGATGGACAGGCTTTGAGCCAAGATGTGGAAATGCCAACAAGTTGCCCCCATCTAAGGCAGCAGATCACCAAGCCAAAGAAGCAGCACATAAAAGGCCTTAGGGCAGTGTCTGTGTTCACTGAATGAGGTAGCAGGACTTTTCTAATGAAAGGCAGTGGGAGGAAATGAGCCCTGAAGGGCAAGGCATGCCTGTGTAGCCCGTGGGGAACATTACGAAGACAGGAAGGTGAGTTGAATCCAGGTTTGAGGTATGAGTGGTTGAGGTTGTCCAGTGGACATCCACAGAAGTTGGTTGATCTCCAGAGAGTGTTGACTTTGGGTTTTGTTTGGCCATTGTCCTTCATCTAGCTTTGTGCTTGTGTGAGTAGCCCACAAGGCCCACTGTGTAGGCCCACTGTTGACCTGGCTGTGAGGTGAAGCTCAATGTGGGCTGGGAAGGTTGAGTATGGTACGCAGCAGCAAAGGACTGGGTGAAGACGGCAACACAGGGCCCAGTGGGAGACTTCCTGGTGTCAGTAAGCCGTGGCCTCCCCCTCAGAACTAGGGGCTTGAGGCTTCCTCTGGCCCCATGGTGCTCTGGGCCTTTGGACCTTGACTGGGAGCGCCTTGGCTCCTGAAGGGTGTAATTGCCTTGTGCAACAAGCAAGTCACTGACTCGGGATGGGTCTGAGGGTGCGGGTCCTACCTCACTCTCCCACCCAGGTCAGGGTCTTAGGTCATGGGGGGGATGGCATGGACCAAGTAACTTACTCACTGACCACTGCTGACTATGTGCTTTTCCTGCAGCAAGCCTCCACGAGCTGTGTGCCCGCAGAGTGTCAGAGATCCTTCGAAATAAAGTACACAGGACCCAAGAGGTGGAGCATGTGGACTTTTATGCTTTTTCTTACTACTATGACCTTGCAGCCAGCGTGGGCCTCATAGGTAAGGGCTAGGCCTGGCACGGCTCTAGGCAGAGGGACTGTGGCAGCAAATTGTCATCGTGAGGTAATAGAAACCACCTTAGAAGCCATAAAGAAGTCCATCATCTGAACAGGAACTGCTCAGCACAGTTTTGTAGATGTTATCTTTTTGAGACATTTAGCAAAGAGAACAGTTGCCCTGACCTAACTTATATTGTTCCACTCCTCAGGCCCACAACAGGTTCTGGCCTGGATCCTGCAGCTCTGGCTCACAGCCATGGTTTCTCTCTGACTCATCCTCTCCACTCAAGGAGAAGGGAAGACAGAGCAAGGTGTTGGAGTTTGCTGAGCCTGGCTATGGCCAGATGGTGTGGACACTCATGAAAGTTACAAAGTTGCATCAGTGGCTGGAGACCCAAATTTTCTAAATGAAATAGAGGAAGTCAGAAAATGGTTGGGGTGAGAATAGCAATGCTAGTTAGTGCTAAATAAAAGCCTCTCAGAAAAAGCAGATGATGTCACTGTTCTAGCTCCCTGTGACTTCAAAGGTACTCAGTGTTTGTACTAGCTGTGCTGTCCCTGGGAAGGGATGAGTGTGGATAACAGCCAGGCAGGTGTGAATGGTCAACATAGAAGGTGGCCTCTTCTGAGACAGCTTGGCGTAGGCCCCTGAGCTACAGTGAGGAACACCTATCAGTGCTTTCCTGACCATACTAGGACTGTGGACATTGCCATGCCAAGATCCACCACACCAGCATGATCTAGAAGTCTGCCTGGGATTCACCTTTGGGCTGGCTCTGCGGGACCCCTCACTTTGATCGTCTGTGCCATGGTTGTCCTTGAGAGCAGCTTGGGGGTAATTAGCTTACATGGCAGTTCCCGTGTAGGATAGCCTGGCATTCACATCACTCACCACCACTGTTATCAGGAGGCTTCGGTCTTACCTGTTTTGGGTTTTTTTTTGTCGGTCATGGAGCCTGAACTCTGGGCCTGGGCGCTGTCCCTCAGCTCTTCAGCTCAAGGCTAGCGCTCTACCACTTGAGCCACAGCACCACCTCCAGCCTTTTTCTGCTCGTGGTGCTGAGGAATCGAACCCAGGGCCTCATGCATGCAAGACAAGCACTGTACCACTGAGCCAACATCCCAGCCCTTACCTGGGGTTATCTCTGGAGGTGCGAGGCTATTCAGAGGGCAGTTGAGACTGCTCACTGTAGTTAATTCTTGGCTCTGAAAGAACAATCTGTTTTCAGAACTCAAGAGAATCTTTAATGGTGACATTTGCTGACATAGCAAACACCCAGAGTCAGGGACTGCTCCCTCTGTAGAGCCCCAAGAAGGCTCTGACCAACGCTTCTAAAACAGTAGATCACTACTCATTTTCTCTTTTATAGGACTTTATTTTTTTTCCCTAGAGGGTCCAGGACTTCCCAGAGACATTTATTTTCTCTCTGCTCTTCAACTTTTCCTAGCTTCAAGTGTTTGCTCAATTTTGGGATCTAGAGGTCCTGGTGAGACTCCTTTAGTGGGATATTGTAAGGTTGGGGTGAGATGATCCTCTAAGGCTTCCTGTCCTGTGTGTCCCATGGAAACACTTGATACCACAATCAAGGGCTTGAATATGACTGTGATAGAGTTCTTGCTCAGCATACATGAGGCTTGGCTTTAATCCCAGCACTGTAAAAAGAAAAAAAAAAATCTACAGTGTGTGTGTGTGTGTGTGTGTGTGTGTGTGTGTGTGTGTGTGTGTGTGTGTATGGCTACTGGGAGCCAGAGGAGAGGGTCCTATGAGAAGAGTCCATGACTACATCCCCATGTTGTGGAGCTCCTGGTCTGGGCCCCCGGTGCCATCCTCAGGTCTCAGCAGCATCGTGTACTTGGGAATGCACCTGCAGACCATGTCTTATTTCCTCCCACAGATGCAGAGAAGGGAGGCAGCCTTGTAGTTGGAGACTTTGACATAGCAGCCAAATATGGTGAGTGGTACCTTGATTGCTGAGGTGACAAGCTGAGAGGGCAGAGGGGAAGAAACCATCCCATGTAGGGGACAGACATCCCACAGTTCCTATGACAGGCACTGGCCCTGAACTCCTGCATTTGGTTCCTAATTCTGTTAACTAGATAGACGTGTAAGTGTACAGAGTCCAAAGAGCACTGGGATTCTGACCTAGTGGAGGTGGGAACGGGCTTGCAGCCTGCCCCTGGGTACACTAGGCCTGTCACCTCCCAATGTTGGGTTTCCGTCTTGACAATAAATCAGAAGTGAGGAGCGTGGGTGGGTGATGGAAGTAGGCAGAGCCAGTGTCTGCAGCCCACCCTCCCTGCAAGGAGGGACTTAATCTAGAACTAGCCATCTCTCCCTCAGTGTGTCGGACCCTGGAGACCCAGCCGCAAAGCAGCCCCTTTGCATGCATGGACCTCACCTATATAAGCTCACTGCTCCAGGAGTTAGGTTTCCCCAGGGACAAAGTGCTGAAGGTAAGGACTTACCTCTTGAGTGCCCCGCTTCTCAGTTCTGTGGAGTTGGGTATAGGGAACTACAGACCCCATTTGGGAGTTTCACTCCCTACCCCATCCCTGGCTTCCGAAAAAAGTCCAGAGCACCTTCTAGCTTTCTGATAAGGCTGCCTTTATCCACCGAAGCCACCTGGCCTTTCACATCTCAGGTGGGTGTGTGATAATCTTCTGTGCCTCTTCCTTTGTCTTTTCAAGCTCACTCGGAAAATTGACAATGTGGAGACCAGCTGGGCTCTCGGGGCCATTTTTCATTACATCGACTCCCTAAACAGACAGAAGAGTCTATCTTCATAGCAGCTGAGCCCCAGTTCCCACCCAGTCAGCTTTTTTGAGCTTGCATCTCCATGGACCCCTCCATCCTGGAAGTGATTCCATCCTTGAGGAGCTACCATACTGGCTAAGACTCTCCTTCCTCAGCCTGCAGTGGCACCTCGTACAGACTTGCCTGAGACCTGGTGGGATCCCTTGCTGCCTGGCCCATGTACTAGCCCTGTTGTGCCTCATCTGGCCCAGGGGCAGGGGCTGGGAGGCCCCAGGCATTCCCCCTGCCTTGCCTACAAGAAGGCAATGAGCTAGACAGGGCCAAGGGCACACCCTGAGGTGGGCCTTCAGCCCCTATCCCCATCCCCTCTGTCTGCAGGGTTGTGGCTGCTTTTCCGTGCATCCCTGTGATGTAGATCTTGTCTCCCAGCCCCTGCTGTTCCCTCTCCAGGGCCAGACCTCCACCTCCCCTGTGCTGGCCTGGCTGCTCTGGGGGAGCCAAGAAGAAAAAGTGCAATCTCCAGGACAAAAGACTTGAGCATATTCATCTCATCCTCATTGTGAACAGTGAACTCACAGGGAGGTCTGCTCCCCACTAGTGGGTAATACTAGTAGGAAGAGAACAAAGAAGACTCCCTCTTCCAGAGCTCTCTAGGAAGGTATTTCTGATTGCAGAGTCCCCAGGTGTGAGCAGGGCTGAGTGTAATCACTGTAAAAACACCCATGGCCATGCTGCCTGCCCTGGGAGTGTCAAGCACTTCTGTATAAAACTATGTCTGAGCCCCTTTTCTGGACACAACTCTGTGTCCCAGTGAATGTATTGCTGCTGTGAGCCATTTGCAGACTAGCAGGGCCGGTCAAAGATATAGCCCCAGAACCACACTTTTTTGTGGCTCTTGTGCTCTCTACAGGCCATAGCCTGTTCTCCTCATCTGACCCAGGGGCAGGTTCTGGGATGCCCCCTAGCACCCACTCTCTGGGTTGGAGCTGAGTGTGAAGCTTGGATATGGTTTAGGACCTGGTGCCTGAGTCCCTCATTGTCCTTCAGTGAATGTACAATACATGGAATAAGCTGAACCTGTTGTGTTCCATTCCAAATAATAAAGGTTTACAAGGGTTTCACTCCTCTACTTCCTCTGGATAAGTGGCTGGTGTTCATCCCCCAGCCAAGATCCCTGTTTATTAGCATTTAAAAACCTGCCAAAAAGATGGCAATCGGTGGCAATAGCTCTCAGCAGTGGCAAAGGCTGTCTTGGGTTCTAACTAGAGCCTCCTCCTGCTGCAGTGGTTTGTTGAGAGAAGAGCTTCATACCTCCTGAGATAGTGACCCACAGTCTGGCCAGGGAAGGTTCTGAATATATCACCCTCTCTGGTGAGTGGTAAGTCCCCACATCACCCTGTGTGGCAAGGACCTGGCTTTACTATAGTGTAGACCTAAGATGGCGGCATTCCAGAGTGAGAACTGTTGGGTGAACCCCTACTCCAAGTGCTCACAGCCCCCACACCTACTTGAGGACCTGACTAAAGAGATGATGAGATCAGGCCCCTGGACATCTCTGAAAAGGAAGTCTGCTGCCATGTGCAAGGCAGTCAGTGTGATCCCAACTTGAGCAGGGAGGAATAAATAAATAATGTTCAGGGCATGAATAAAATGAGCCAGTGACTTCTCCAAAGTTGAACCTTGGAGAAAAGGTTTAGAGACCAACACATGATACAAGCTGGGAAGGAAAAATGAGAAAAGATGTTCCACCAAATGAAAAGTAATAGGTGGGACAATGTCCAGGAAGTGAGGGCTGAGGAGGGTGTCAAAAACAAAACAAAAAGCAACAACAACAGAAGAAGAAAAAAGAATTCACTGTCTATACTGCACCAGACCTGTTTTGGCAAAGCCCATGCCTGCCCCTTGGCTTCCATCGTCTCTGGTGGCCTAAATATTTAAAGAACTCCATAAGCAAAGTGAAAATTGATTCAATCCATTTAGTGATCTCACTTCTGAAAAAGCATAAACAATTGGAAGATTCCCAAAAAAGCACCAAATAAGTCATGGAATATTTCTGAGCCCAACAAAATATGCAAGTCATTCCGAGTGTCTTTTATGATAACAAAGTAAGCTCTTGTTCTTTAAAAATAGCTGCTGACACAGGGTCTGGGCTCTCCTAGAGGATATGTGCTTAGAGGGACCTCTCTGATGCACTCCTCTCCTCCTCTGTCCATGTGCAAAACATACAGGCCACAGGCCTGAGCTGCAGATGCTAGTGGCGTTTCTATGTGTAGATGATAGGACCTCAGCATCTAGTTATTTGCAGCCCCATATCTTTGTACGTGGGTCTTCCGAAGATCATCAGACTCCTGCAGTCCACTAGCACATGTTGGTGCGGTCTTTCCTATACCCTCATAGCTGTAACCCTACATTTGATTTTTGTCAGTCAGGCATATAAAAAATTGGTGACCAGTAGTTTTAATATGCATGGATCTAATTCCTGTCTGTAAGTATGGTGCAGTAGCCACATGCATCCTCTTTTATGTCTAAAGAGATATTTATGTGCCTTTCCTGTGAAGCATTGCTCATGTCTTTTCCCTGTCTTTTTGTAAGATTGTGATCATTTTCTTGTTGATATTAGGAGACCTTTATTAAGGAAATTAGCCCATGTGATAGGAAATATTCAGTTTTTTTCTCTATTTTTAACTTTATGATGTTTTATTCCATGTATAATATTACTATTTTGAAATCTATTTGAATTTTGTAATTTCTAGGTTTTCTCTTGTAATTACAAAGGCTTCCTCTCTGAGATTTCAAAGTTAACCAGAGGTGGGTTAGTATAGCTTAGTAATTCAATGCTTACCTAGCATAACAAGGTCCTGTGTTCCGATTTCTAGTACTGCAAAACAACTTAACCAAATGGTTGAGGATTTTGTTTTGTTTTGTTTTTGAGACATGTTCTTGCCATGTAGCCTAGACTAGCCTAAAACTCACTGTCTATGTCACCTAGTCTGGCTTCAAACCCCCAGTCCTCCTGACTTGGCCTCTAGAGTGCTGGCATGAACTGGCATGTACTGCTACACCCAGCCCCAAATGTATTTTTTTCAAGATCTCCAAGTTTGTGTGTTTGAACACTCTCAGGAAAAGATATTGCTGTTTCAGGATGGATTTGAGTTTTAGACCTATTTCCAGAGGGATGTTTATACACTGGAATTCCATTTGAGGGATGAAGTCAGGGATTACTAGAATGAGGTAATTCCAAAAAGGAACTTTTAGAAAATATCAGCTTATTGCTGTGTTAGGCAGGAACTTTGAGAGAACCAATTAATTGCATCGGCTATATCGCTATGCAGTTTTCTGATAGAATTTGTGTTCGTATGACTAATTTGGAGGCCATATAAAGAATGTTTGAAATGATCAAAGCTAATTGTCTTGGAAAGAGAAGCTCAGACTATGGTAAGTTTTTTGACTACCTGCTACACCCAGGGCTTTGCGTCTCCAGAGGCAAAGTGCTCTGACATATTGATGGAACTTACAGGGATGCTCTTTTCAGGTTTCAAACTAACAGTGAAACATGACCTAGAACAAAGTGGATCCTTCTTCATTGAGAGGAGGCTCTTCTTCTGTCAGTATTCAGAGATGCTGGAGAAGAGAATCTGCAGAGGATAATAGGTGTTTCCAGTTTCCTTACTGGAAAATGGTAAGATTCTTAGATTCACCTTAGATCACCTTGAAGCTCATGGACAGGTACAATCTGCTTTCTGCTAAGAGTATCTGCAGCTGGGTATTTATGTTAAATAGAAATCAATTTGGCTCACTGTTCTGGAGGCTGGGAAGTCCAAGAGCATGGCGCAACATCTGGTGAGGGTTTTTGTGCAGCAGCATCTTATGGTGAAGGCAGAAGGGGGATGCAAAAAAGCAACAGGAGGCCCAGCTCACATTTGTAGCAGCCCACTCCAAAACAAAACAAAAACACTGCCCTAGTAATGACAGTTCATTCAGGAGGAGACCTAATTACCTCATAATAGCCCATCTCCAAACAATGGTGCACTGATAATTAAGTTTTAATACATGGACATTTAAGCCTTTGTGTAGATAAGCATACTTATCCATACACTGCTGTGTGTGTGTGTGTGTGTGTGTGTGTGTGTGTGTGTATACCAGTACTGGGGCTTGAACTCAGGACTTGGGCACTATGCTTTAACTTTTTTTTTAGCACTCTACCACTTGAGCCACAGCTTCACTTCTAGATTTTTGCTGGTTAATTGGAGGTAAGTCTCATGGATTTTCCTGCCTGAGCTAGCTTTAGACTGTGATTCTCAGATCTTACTTCCTGAGTAACTAGGATTACAAGTGCAAGCCACTTGTGTCCAACACCTTCCAATTTGAATAACATTAAAGTATCAGAAAATGTGAAAAACAAAGTATCAGCAGCTTATATTTACTGAGTGCTCACTGTGTGCCAAGTATGGTATTGACTGCACTTCGTGTTCTCCTTCAGCCATGAATCAAGACAGGCACTGTTTTCTATCCTGCAGTCAGCTAACTGTCACACTCCACCACAACTGGGGGCAGTACAGTTATGGGGCACCAGGGGATCTGAAGGGTTCTGCCGGCTACAGATGCCCAAGATCCCATTAATAAGTGTATTTATTGAGTTTAGTACAGGGGAGTACGTGCAGAAAGGAAGGTGCCAATATCTTTGAAGTGACTGACCACCAACGTGACATAATTTTGTATACAAGTGATAAATGACTTCCTTAGGTAAGCAGTGAACAACTTACATTTTGCATAAGTCTTTGTCTCCCAGACAGCTTGGGGCCTGATGAACTCACACTTGAGGTAGAAATGTGAATCTTTGTACAGCCAAGACTGTTTGATCTTTCCAGGGCAACCCCAGCATTCTGAGAGTCTTGTTAGAGGATGGTGTTCCAATTCTCTTTCCCTGTCAGACCTCACAGTTTGGTTTCCAGAGATTCCCATAATTCTCCCTGTTTTATTATTTGAGAAAGCATGATTTTTATGTTTGCTTGAGTCATCACACACTGGATTCTAGAAGATAAACATAGAAATAGGCAGGGAGCTAGCAGAACAATCCCTAAGATAGAAGCTATTGGGTCCAGAAGGGGAAAAGCCAGGAAAACTGTTCTGATTTTTACTGATTTTTAACTTGCTCAGTCCTTTTTGAGCTGCTGTAGCTGGTTTTTTATCCTTTTTTTTTTCTTTTTTGCCAGTCCTGGGGCTTGAACTCAGGTCCTGGCCACTGTCCCTGAGCTTCTTTTGCTTAAGGCTAGCACTCTACCACTTGAGCCACAGCTCCGCTTCCAGCTTTTTTTCTTTTTCTGTTTATGTGGTACTGAGAAATTTAATGCATGCTAGGCAAGCACTCTACCACTAAGCCACATTCCCAGCCCGTTATTTTATTGTTTGGGTTTTTTTTTTTTTACTGTATTTTTTTGTCTTTTTCTTTTTTGGTACTGGGGATCGAACCCAGGACATTGCACTTACTAGGCAAGCGCTTTGCCACTGAGCTACATCCCAGCCCTAGCCCGTTATTTTAAAGCAACACAGTCGTTCAAAGTGTTTATACCCCAAGTGATTTTTTTAACAGCAAATAATCTATGGCTGCTCAATTTGATATAATTCCTGTTATCAGCTCCTTCATATCCTGATTTATTTCTTCCAAAATGACAGCCGTGACATTTGTCTCTTTGTTGAAAATACAAGCCAGCTTGCTAAGTTCTTTCTGGACACCTGCTACAAGTCTAGGGACAGAATAAAAGCCGCAGCCACAGCCATATCAGCAGCATTTAACAGCACTAGGTTGTCATCACAATTTTGGGTTGAGATCATATTTCATCCCTTATTTTGATGGGTCAAATTACTAAGAAAAAGAGACACCATTCTCCCAATATGAGTCCTGTCTAACTTTTCCTTTTCTTTTTTCTTTCATTGCTTCATGGTTTATTCTCCTCTTAAGACTTCATCAGTAAGTAGAATGGAAGATGCCTCCCACCCTGACCCCTTTGGCAGCCAAGGCATTATACTCTTTCACCGCCTGCTCTGTCCGGAGGACCCGTACATCAATGCTTGTTTCTGGAGGTACTCCACAGTAGATGGAGGCACCTTTAAGGCCTCACTCATCCCTCAGCCAATTA